AACATAAATTAACTGTGGTTTATCACATCTTTGGAAAGCTGAGTTCATGGAAAAACATGGAACAGTGGTGAACCTTCCCAGGAGTGGCCGGCCGACCAAAATTACCCCAAGAGCGCAGCGACGACTCATCCAAGAGGTCACAAAAGACCCCAGAACAACATCCAAAGAACTGCAGGCCTCACTTGCCTCAATTAAGGTCAGTGTTCATGACTCCACCATAAGAAAGAGACTGGGCAAAAATGGCCTGCATGGCAGAGTTCCAAGACGAAACCCACTGCTGAGCAAAAAGAACATAAAGACTCGTCTGTTTTGCCAGAAAACATCTTGATGATCCCCAAGACTTTTGGGAAAATACTCTGTGGACTGATGAGACAAAAGTTGAACTTTTTGGAAGGTGTATGTCCCATTACATCTGGCGTAAAAGTAACACGGCATTTCAGAAAAGGAACATCATACCAACAGTAAAATATGGTGGTGGTAGTGTGATGGTCTGGGGCTGTTTTGCTGCTTCAGGACCTGGAAGACTTGCTGTGGTAAATGGAACCATGAATTCTGCTGTCTACCAACAAATCCTGAAGGAGAATGTCCGGCCATCTGTTCGTGACCTCAAGCTGAAGCGCACTTGGGTTCTGCAGCAGGACAACGATCCAAAACACACCAGCAAGTCCACCTCTGAATGGCTTAAGAAAAACAAAATGAAGACTTTGGAGTGGCCTTGTCAAAGTCCCGACCTGAATCCGATTGAGATGCTGTGGCATGACCTTAAAAAGGCGGTTCATGCTCGAAAACCCTCCAATGTGGCTGAATTACAACAATTCTGCAAAGATGAGTGGCCCAAAATTCCTCTACAGCGCTGTAAAAGACTCATTGCCAGGTATCGCAAACGCTTGATTGCAGTTGTTGCTGCTAAGGGTGGCCCAACCAGTTATTAGGTTTAGGGGGCAATCACTTTTTCACACAGGGCCATGTAGGTTTGGATTTTTTTTTCCCCTTAATAATAAAAACCTTCATTTAAAAACTGCATTTTGTGTTTACTTGTGTTATCTTTGTCTAATATTTAAATTTGTTTGATGATCTGAAACATTTAAGTGTGACAAACATGCAAAAAAATAAGAAATCAGGAAGGGGGCAAACACTTTTTCACACAACTGTATATATATTTTCCTAACAGGCTCAACATCAAAAGCAATATCCAACATGTCGGGCTTGCAGAAGCCCTAGCTTCGCTCACTCTCTAAGCTTGTAATCCTTTCTAAATGGCTGCTGTGTTGCTTCAGCTTGCAGTAAAGGACAAAGACAGTTTTGTCTTATTTCAGGGGAGCTTTAGCCAGACTCTCCTCGGTGAGGTGAATTAATTTTCTGCCTTTCCTTCTCAAGCCAGTCATTTCATGGTTATGCACCCATTAGGGCTAAAAGATGGGGATAATTTAAGTTGATCATTTAATTACAGCTGTATGGTTTTGGTTTTACAGCGGTTTTTTTGATGACACGATTTCGCATGGCATCATTTTGTTCACGCTTCCGCAACTCTTCCTCCTCTTTAACAACTGGTGATGTGTCAGCAAAGTTTCACAGCATGTTACAACAGTGTTTGACTTTTTTATCCCTTCCACTCAGTTCATCCGTACAGCATTTCTTCTTTGCACTGGCCATTTGACCATTTTCCATTGACTTCCATCTGCTCTTTCTCTTCCCTAATTCAAGTACGAGTCAGACGAGCTGGAGAAGAGTGTGTACCAAGATTACGACAGTGACAGCGATGTCCCTGAGGAGCTCAAGCAGGACTATGTTGACGAGCAGACGGGTGATGCCCCCATCAAGAGGTCAGTTCCAATTCAAACTGTTTTACGCCACTCCGAAGAACGCACAGCTCAGGGTATGACGTGTGAAGTTACGGTGGTCCATCAGATCTGCTCCTGGCTATTCTAAACTTATGAAAGTCAGTGAATGTACACAAAAAAGGAGTAACTCATGTTAATCACCGATGCAAAATAACATTATACAATGAACTTTTTTTAACACGGTTCTAAAAGGATGGGAAGTCGTGCATTCCGCCACTTTTTATGCATTTAGCGCTGATCATTTCCGCTCCCCTCTGCCTCACCCTGCTAAGTAGGCAGAAAGCTTGTGTAAAGCGTCTTGTCTTCCCATGAAAAATTCTCTTTCTTCCCACCTCCGCCTACGTGATTGGCGACTTTTGAAAGATGAATCGCTGTTTAACAAAAGCAGAGGCAATCGTGCTTCTCTGCACCGTGTGTAAAAATCATTCAGCTCATTTAAATGAGAGTTTTGAATGCAAAATTTTGTATTTGTTTTTTGTTTTATTATCAGGGTGCGTTTATTTCTAAGGATGATGTAATTCATGCAAACAATTACCTTCTTAACATGTTACAGCTGTAATTAATCATGTCGTCTTCGTTTTTGTGTTTTATAACCCTCCTTGTGCAGTTCATAATGTTTTTGTCTGCATGTGTATGCGATGGACTGAAATATTAAGAACCTGTGTGTGTACGTGTTTGTGCATATCTGAGAGCCGACACCAGATTTGCACAGGAAACTAAAATACTAACTACAATTACTTATTCAGTAGCTCCTCATTACAGAAGCACTGTTACAATAAGAGTTCCCTGTCATGTAATTCACAATGATTTATTAATGGTGTCTTAATGTTTGTGCTCAGTTCTCAGTCTCGTTATTTCACAGATCTGACAGGCCTGATATTCATGCTTAAACACTCTCACCACATTCGATTTCCTGTTCCTTATGTGTATTAACCTGGCGTTAGCCTATAGCCACTAAAATGCTAATTCCCCATTCTTATCAGCAGGAATCACTAATGGTTCATTATTGAATAGGTCGCACGGTCACATCTGGAAATTAGAAGGCCCGTGTAATGATTGCTGGCTAATATGGCTCGATGAGCAGTGTCAGGTTGTCTGCAGCTCCAGGATCACCGGTTCACGAACTCCACCGTTGTGGGTCCATCTGTGTCTCCTGCATTGTGTAATGGCTTCTGATTGATCAATTAGAAGAATCGGACCGGCACTGAGGTTTTTGAACCTGGCCGATCATTTCTGAGGATTAGTGATGTTAACATACAGTATATTACTGAGTCTCTCCTCTTCTCATGATTCTGCCCGACTCTCTCTCTCTCTCTCTCTCTCTCACCCCCCACACCCTGCACGCATCATCAGTGCGTCCCGAGAGACCATAAGAAGCAAGAAAAAGTCCGACTACAACCTGAATAAGACCAATGCACCAATTCTCACCAATACCACCCTCAATGTCATCCGGCTTGTCGGTGAGTCCTGAGCGCGCGCGCGCACACACACACACACACACACACACACACATACACACACATCCAGTACCACTTAGCCCTGCTTGAGAGCAGCACAGACGTAGCCGCAGTGGGCTTCCTCTCTAACCTGCTGAGATACAGTATCTATTAATTCACCAATAAAGCCAGCAGCTCTTTGCAATCAGTGCACTCTGCTGTTCTCTGCTTGCTATCTGTGTGACTGAGCTGCACTAATAATTATTATCCTTCAACCTGAGCTCTGACCTTTTTGTTTTCCAAAGAGGTATGTCGGAACCCTTCCTTTGGCAAAGCGTGTTTCTCGGTGGTGTGACCTTCATAATGTGATTTCCGTGTGTCAGAAAGGAATTAGACGAGGCAATTATCTTGGCCGTGTGGTTTGTACGGATGTAAAAGTCTTCTGCCATTTCATTCATTTAATAATTGAGGATGATACAGATTTTCTGTCATTCCAACAAAAACCAGATCCTCCTACCAGCTGTTTTCATTTGAAGTGTCCTCTTTGTTTCCTTCTTCGGTGCGTACTTCACAACGTCCCGGGACACACCGTACAGTACGAAATAGAATGTGTGTTCTCTTACTGGTGATATTGATTTACTGAGAGAAAAGCCTAAGTTTGAGTCCAAGCAATCACTACTAATTCAGTCTGTGCAGCTCTGTGATGGAGTTAGATTGCTCCCTGAGTTCAAGAGAAAGAGTGTGAGAGAATAGTGCTGCCTCAGTGGCAATACCAGCTAGATTGAGTTTATTTCTTCTTTCTTTCCCCCACCATTCATCAGTTCTGAGTCAATGGTAACCTTGTTAGACCCCTGTACCTCTGTACTTATTGCTTTTATTACCTTCCTGCTGAACTGAATCCTTGCCCTCGAGTGTATGCAAATGCAATGCGTTCCTGCTGAAGTTCTTCCCTAAGGGATGTAGCTCCACCATGATTAACTTCCTGTAGTTTAAGTCTTTTAATCTCCCACACGAAGCATTTCATTTATTATAAACGGATACCGGGTTAAAAACAACTCTTAAGCCTTAAATAAAACCCAATGTGTGTGTGTGTCCACTGCGATACACCCTGCTATGCAACCAGGAGCACATAAAGCTTGTCCAACAAACTCCTGCTAACTGTTTATTCACTGTCACCAACAGGGAAGTATATGCAGATGATGAACATTCTGAAGCCGATCGCCTTCGATGTCATCCACTGTGTGTCGCAGCTCTTCGACTACTACCTGTACGCCGTGTACACTTTCTTTGGACGCAATGACATGGTACGGTATTTTTCTTTTACACACTCATGTTGAATTAGTAAATCAACACATGGTATGTTTTAGAGTAATTCCACTCTAGATCTTGGAAGGATAAAAAAATAAAAAAGCCCAGCTCAACCACACCCAGCTGTGATGTAGCGGAGTGTTATAGTGCCGTGGTACATCGCTGCTTCACAGGACGCTCTAACTGAGCTACAACAAATAAAGAGTTTTCAAGTTACCACAAGTACAGGGGACTTTTTTTTTTTTTCCATTGCAATGCCTGCAGCTACAAAATATTACTTGTGCTGCATCAGTGGTACGGCGCTTTAAGAAAATTGCCTTCATCTATTTCCAAGGCTAGAATTTTTGAATTCTCATGTTTATTAGATAATATACGTACATAATCTTTCCGTCTTTTCGCTTTGCGCTCTGTCTCAGTACAAATTTAAGTTGAACGATAGTTTACAGTCGGCGGGCCCACTTCCCCTCGCTCCATGGAGAGACTATCGTGTCATTTGTAGTGCCTCGCAAAGAGAGAAAACGCCATTTGTGTCAGTATCACCCTCGGGGGAAGTGATAATGATGGCAACATAAATGACACTTCTGTCCCATCGAGGTGGAAGATGAAGAGGATGAACGCTCCGCGGGGGCCGCTCCACTGCACATTATTGATGTGTGTGTGTGCGTGTGCGTGTGTGTGTGTGTGTGTGTGTGCGTGTGTCTGTGTGTGCGTGTGCGTGTGCGTGTGCGTGTGCGTGTGTGTGTGTGTGTGCGTGTGTCTGTGTGTGTGTGTGCGCACCATGGGGAGATGAGGGAAGGTGACACACTGGTTGAGAATTGACAACTTGATCTGACCACTAACGGTTAAAGTACCGCATGTTGAGGGTGTCTCTGTCACATTCTCTCTGTCTCCATGCTTCTATTGACATCACTCTTTCTGTGTATTACTGTTTACTTTATCTTAAATTCTCTTTTCCTTCTTCACACATAGACTGGATGTCATTTTTTTTTTTTTTTACTGATCCTTCCCCCCTTCTTTTTTTTCATCCCAGTGTCCTGAATCTTACATGCTCTGCTCCTTTCACATGTCATCGTTCGTCTTCTGTTTTTTTTTTTTTTCCTCGCACTGTTCCCCTTCCAGTCTGCACCTCTCTGAAATTCTGACTCTTTTTTCCCCCGTGTACCTCTAGTCCTCATTAAATGTGATATCATGAACCGGCCCATTTCAATAATAGTCTTACTCAAAGAGGCACCTACAGTAAAATGCTAATGCCCCCCATGAATCTTTAAAAAGATTTCTGAAAATTGCTATGCACATATGCTGTTATTTTGACCTAGGCTTTGCTCACTTTATACCGCTGGAATCAAGATGGAGCAGCTTGACTCCCCCACTTGAAGAGTAATGGGTGACATTAATATTCAAAAAGGGTAAATACCCCATTCTCTGTGTATATTGACCCTGTCAAGTCAAGCTGCACCATTGAGTCCGTCACACACATGCTAAAGCTGCATTATGTGCCATGCTCACAGATTCTCCAATGCCATTAATAACCCGGCTTCTAAGTGCTCGGGGCTGAGAGAGGCAGAGTTATAAACTATTTTTGGAAATGTGATTAATGCTTCAGAATTATGGAAAGTTAGCCCCATTGGATTAACCTAAATTAAAACGGAGAGAAATGTGAGGTGAAAGATGGAGGAAAGATAAAGATGGAAGAATTTTTAGTGTGTTGCTCTGTTTGGCAGTATGATGGCAGAAAGAAGGGAGGAGAGAGGCTGGATACCAAAACAATGATGTAGGAATGATGTGTTGAGACAGAGCTGCCTAGAGAGAGAGAGAGAGAGAGAGAGAGAAAGAGCAGAGCAGAGCAGATCAGGAAAGTATCTGATGTTTGAATAGATGGCTTCTCTGAAAAATGAGCGATACTGCAAGAAACTGTCATTTTTCATTCTCGGCTCCTGCCTCCCACAGACGGTTCCTCCCGATGAATTATATGCATCTTGCATGCACATGTGCAAGAGAAAGTTTTTACACCATCACAGTCTCCTGTGACGCAGAATAAAATAAAATACCCCTTTCTATCTTCTTCAGAAAAAATGTTTGATCCTACATTCCCCATAATGCAACATAATTAGCATCTTTCATTGGACTCTCCCAGTGCCCACCTCTTTCACACCCCAAATCTCAAGTTTTCAACACAAGCCTTCTGTTAAAGATGCTGAGATAAACAAGATAACTCTGATGATGTCGTCAGAGTTATTTTTTTCAAACCTTGGAAAGCTTCCTGCAGAGACACAGCAGGAAGTTGTATCGTGAAGACACTATACAACTCTTCTCAGTGACGTTCTCCCACATCACCACACTGAAAGGGAGATTATTGAGCTGGAAGTATGTTTCAGTTTCAGAACAAGTACAAGATTAAAAATGTAATTTCATTTTAATGTGAGGCAACAATCAAGTGTTGATGTGTACACGAGTAATTTCACCAATTACTTCCATTAATGTAATTCTGTTTCTTTGTTTGTTTGTTGTTTTTTGTTAACGTGAGACTTTGCTTCTTGTTTTTCCTTTCTGCTGCCCATTCGTCATCCATAGCCTGTCCCAAGCCCGTCTCTGCCAACTCACGGTGGCAGAGACGCGGGCCCTGCCAGGGTGGTGGGCCCTGCTTGCTTGGTAAGAGTAGATCTCTGGAAGCATTAATGACTAACACACAAGGTTGTCTCCCCCCCTGCCTTGCGAGTCCAAAATGCTATAGTCAACACTTGTGGTGTGGTGGATTTGAAATGACATCAAACACATGTGAAAGTGATTTCAGTAGCATTTAGATGTTTGAGTTTGCTGTGCTTTCTCCCTCTCCACACTGAGATTGATTTTGACTTCTGCTCCTCCAGTTTACTGCTCCCTCTTTTGGATTAGACTTGGCTAGAAGCCGAAAGTAAAGATTCTCTTGTCTGCCACTACGTGAGATGAAAGCGTGTGTGTGTGTGTGTGTGTGTGTGTGTGTGTGTGTGTGTGTGTGTG